CATCACCGAAACGCCGGCTCCAGCCGGGCAGCGGTCCCGGTGTTTGCTTTGGCACCGGGGCATTAGCGGGTTGCGCTTGGGTCCGGCTCTGCCTCCGGCACAGAGAGAACGTGCCAAGTTTATTGAAAATAAACGTGCCGTGCCGGAGGAGGCACGTTTACACACGTGCAAAAGGCCCGCGGCAGAACGGCACCTGTGCAACAACCGACAAGGCTCCGGCTGTCTCCAGCGCTGCCTAAAGGAGCTGAAGAGGCAGCTCCGGTGCTATTTTTCTTGGAAAAAGGTGCAATTTTGTAGCTCAAACCCCGGCTGCCCCATGTCTTTGGTTGAAGAGAGGTAATCTGGCAGCTGCCTGCACCTGAGAGGTACCGGAATATTTGGGAGCAGGATCCGCGCCACACCTCGGTTTCCCCGGGATGGCACCTGCACATTGCCAGCCTGGCAAATACTTTTCCACCTTTGCCCAGAAAGGCGAGTAAATCAAAGCCGCTATCAGCGTTTTAATTTTATCGTGGTTTCAAGGAGTGCCCTAGTTACAGGCAGGAGCTGGCAGGGCCGGCAAGTCACCAAGGAGCCGTGAGGAGTATCGATACCAGGAAGTCCAGCCGGCACTTGCCGTAAACAGTCACTGAAAAAACCACCTCGGCGGGTTCAAGGGTTCCTCCTCGAGGGCTCCACCCTGTGCCAAGAATTCGGCACCTCTGCCCAACACCCACCGCGGCACAGGGGCAGCCCCCTCGCGCGGTGGACCCGGGCGGTGGTTTAATCACCGGCAAAGGCACTAATTTGGTCTTACCCAAGGCTCCAGCCAGCCCTGCTTGCTCCTCCGGTAGGCTCGGGCTCTCTTGGAAGTCCATCATCTCCTCCTGGCCAAAGCCCCTGCGGGCGTTAGTCTCAAAACCAAGCGTTTAAGGTCATTAAAATTGCAGAAAGTGGAGAATATCCTGAATTTAGGGTTTTGTTTTAAGAGAGGCAGGAGGCTGCTGCACCGGCGCGCGCCGTGGAACGACAGGTTTGGAGACCAAGACACCAAGAGTTTTGTGTTTATTTGTCTACATTCAGCTTACTCCAGATGTACTGCCTGAGGGATTCAGGCAAAAAAAAAATCCCACTGGTTTTTAAAATAAAATCTTCACTTATAAAACTGAAACACTAAAGCATTAAAATACAGAAAGCTCGTTTAACTCACTTCACAAAAGCATTAACAGGTGACATATCCCTTATCTATTTAAAGCCATACTGTCTTCACACTTCCACGTCAATTTTTAAATAGAAAAAGGATACTGAAATCGTATTAACTCAAAAAAAAAAAAAATCCTATTTAGACAAAGTTGTAATGGCAACTAACAAACCATTAAATACAGAGATGCCCAAAATACAGCTAAGTATGGAATTACAGGTACTCAACCATTAGTGACCGGTATCACAAAGAGCACTGCAACATGGAAACGGGGGGGCAAGGGGGGGTTTACGTGTTTACCGTGATGCCATAAAACTGAATATTCAAAGGGTGGGCGAGCACGGGAGGTAACAAAGCTCCGCGCCCGCGGAGGAAAGGGCGGCTTTATCTGTACTGGTAATTCATGCTGTGGTCGTTTCTGCCGTAGCCGCCTTGGGACGCTTGGTAGGAGCTGGGGGGGCCGCTGTAATTTTGGCCTGAGCCGGGGGAGTTGTAGTTGGACTGAGAGGAATATCCGCCTGCGAGGGGGGGAGAAGGGAGGGAGAAGCTCGGTTACGATCGCGGCGTGAAAGAAAAAGCGATTTTAACGCAGAATCAGAGCTTTTACTCCGATCCGGGACTCGTTGACGCGCAAGAGCAGGCGCGGATGTAAAGACGCTGCCCTCGCACGGAAAAAATATATAGGGAAGTGTCGTATACTGACCTTGCTTACCTTGGTACGAAGACCCTCCGCCCCCAGATCCTCCCCCATAGCCACCGTGTGAACCGGTGTTGTAGGAGGCACCTCCCGAGTAGTTATTTCCTCCGCCTCCGCGGCCGCTGTTGCCGCCGTAACCTGGAAGGGAGAGCGCGGTGAGCGCAGCCGGTCTCCCCGGCGGCGGCTCTGCCTTCGCCGCACCCAGCGGTGCCAAAACCGGAGAGGTTTTGCCTGCTGTTAGCAGCGAAAGGGACGATTATTCGAGGTGAGGCGATTGCCAGGGGCTCGATGAGCAAAAGCTCTCCCCCTTCCCGTCTCCTTGGGCTGCTAAAAGCTTCGTGGAGAGGTCTGGCTGTCGGGGCAGCGGTGGGATCTCCCCACAGCTTGCACGAGCAGGGACGATCCCCGCTGGGGAGCGTGTGGATCCCAAATGCTCACCTACCCGACACAGAAAGCAAAGACTTGATCGTGAAATAGTAACTCAGAGCAGAGCGGGCAATTCCACCTTCATCCTCCAAAACACAAGTGCATCTCCTCGGGGAGTAGGAGACCAGACCCCAGCAGGTTTCCTGGCTTGTTGGGGATCTCATCCAACTAAATCAACTAAACCAGAGCGCTTTAAGCTCTCCGAGTTCACAGAATCACGGGCTGGTTTGGGTGGGAAGGGACCTTAAAGCTCATCCAGCCCACGAGCAGGGACATCTTAGAATCCGAGAATCATTAAGGTTCGTAAAGACCTCTAAGATCGGCGAGTCCGACGGGGCATCCACCACCTCCCTGGGCAACCTGCGCCCGTGTCTCACCGCCCTCAGCGTAAAGAATTTCCTCCCTCCATCTGGTCTGAATCTCCCCTCTTTTAGTTTAAAACCGTTCCCCCTCGTCCCAGCGCCACGGGCCCAAGTTATTCCTTTGTGTGGGACCAAGCGCCTATAGAGCGCGCATTCCCTAATTATCTAAAGTTCACATTTTACTCCCCAGATAAGCCAGCCAGCACTCACTGAATTTGCTCTCGTAGTTGTAATCGGAGCCTCCGCCGCCAGGCGAGTTGTAAGAATTGGAGTAGGAGGAATAGTTGCCTTGGCCGTGGTTGTAGCCTTTCTGTTTGCCCTGCGGCGGGCCGTAGTTACTGTACTGGTTTTGGTTGTAGGACTGCTGCTGCTGGCCCTGGTGGGACTGGTACCCCGAACCGTAGGAAGGTTTTTGCTGTCCTCCGTGCTGCTGTTTCTTTCCGCCGTGTTTCGGAGGAACCGGCGAGTTGTAGTTATCGCCGCCCTGGTAGTAGGAGCCGCCGTAGCCGGAGGAGCCGCCGCCGCCTCCGCCGCCGCTCCCCGAGTTGGAGTGGCCGCCGTTGCTGTAGAACTGGCCTAAACAGAGAGAAGAGCGCCAGCCCCAACGGTGGCAGCGTTTTGCGGGGGGCAGGCACTATTTTAAAGGTTAAGGCTCGTAAGACGAGGAGATCGTACCCTCGCGAACGCAAGCGTTTGGGAGCGGTTTGCTCTTAGGCTGGTGAAAGGCTTAAGAAACCGCACACGAGGCCGAGAGGTGAAACATCTTGTTCATTTAAGCACACAGGGAGTTGTGTAATACATTGACGTCGTACCATCGCCCAGTCACCCTGAAACCTCAGCGAACAACACCCAGCCAGTTCTCCCACAGCTTTAATTCCCATACGATCCCGTTTCGGACTAAGCTCAGGGCTACGACAGTTTCTTTAATGCATGTTACAATAACTAACAGTTATTCAATGCTCTACAAAGATTTAAAATCTGGTGCTCCAACTACATTTGAGACAAGTCAGCCATCGACGGCAGCTGATGCTCGGTCTCCGCAGCCGAGAGATGCGGTAACGAGGAAGAATCTCGTTCCTGTAATGAGGAATTGTGTCAACATCCACGCGGATCGCTCTAACACAGCGAGCCATCCGCCTGGATTTACATGGCGAGCGAGCGGCGACAATCCAACGGAAATTAAGACGTGCGTGCACAGCTCATCCTATTTACCTTGAAATTGGGGTACTACATCTGGGATCCAAAGTTACGGAAAACCTCTAACGGCTCAAAACACCCCAGTGAGCCTGGATGCGACAGCACTGTACACGGTCGAGAGTTAGTCTGGGTTTAATTTTATTTATCAAGAGTACTACAGTCAAGCTCTTCGAGCAATTCTTTTCCTGCCCAATCTCCGCAAATTGAACTTCGGGGAGTTCTTCGCGTTGGGCTTAGTGTGAGAAGACTTATTCTACAGTCAGACTTGCCATATTCGAAACTAAACTTATTTTCAAGGAATAAAAAGCCACTAGAATCTAACAAAAAACCTGCACCAGTGTCCATAACGGCGCGTGCGCTCGGGGAACGGAGCTACGCCTCTAGAAGAGGGAAAGATTTGCTAGCACCTCCTCTGAAACGGAGGAGAGGTGGGGAGAATTCAGTTAAAAAGGAGACAAAAAGAGTAAAATCTCATGCCCTTTGCTTCCGCAATTCCGTGGGAAACTACCGCGACGACTCGTGGTGAAGGCGAATCCCAGCTCAGTTCCTAAATTCGGTGCCTGTTTGTGAAAAGCTGCAGCTCTTCGAGGCACCTGGCTTTTAATTTTGTGATTGTTTAATCAATTCTTGTCTACGCCCCCCGCACTACAGTAACACTTTCTATGCCAGATTTTTTTTCCCTCTTCGGCAGAAGATCAGGGTTTAGTTTGCACAGAAACGAGGTTCTGTCATCAGTTTCTCTCCAGCCAAGAACACCACGGCTGTGGCAAAATATTTCTCCGCTGAAGGAGAGACCCCTTCTCGCTCCGTCAGTATTAAAACCCCCGTCTTTGGTTCGAGCACGGGGACTTCTCCAGAGCGAGGGGTTACGACTGGCACCGTGTAAATTCGAGCTGCAGGTGTTGGAAGTTGGTCTCTCCCAAGTCAATATTTCTGGAATTTCCACCTTATACCAACACTTCATATTTAACTATGAAGTTTTAATGCTGTTTGACATCGGATCATTTTCCACTTTCCCCAAATCCCCAGAGGAATAGAAATATCCAGCACACGAGTTGTTGCTCTAACATGGAGTCGCTTAAAAACCAGCAGGTTTTCCACCTCATTCAGGACAGGATCTACTCCCTCGGGTAAAAAGTCACTATTTCAAACAATAGCTTTCTAAAAAAAATAGGGCATGCATCACTATTATTATTTTAAGTATCCGCTAAACACCTTGGACTTTTTTTTTCTTTAAACCTGGTGCTTCGTAGGTCAGAGGTTTTTTTGTTTTGCTTTCTTTTTGTTGTAGCTAGTTTAATTACTGAGTTAACTCAAATGTTGTTGAGCCTCACAAGTTAAAACGAATGCAATGGTGCAGGCTTTGCAGCTAAAAACAGTGACAAACAAAATACAGTTTTAAAAACAAATACCATAGCAAGAATAAAGGACCAAACACTCGGAATTCAGAGACTCGGGTCTCGACTGGCCAACGGCCAAATTTCTCACAATTCCGGATTCCGGTGGAATTTAATCCTCCAGGCGATTCAGTACTTTTAGGGCAACGAGCGTTTTTCAGCGCGGCTGCCGAGCCCGCAGCCAGCGGAGCTTTGCCGTTAAGTGCTTTAGGCCCTTTATGCTTGGCTCGAGAAAGCCCATGTTCACGTTAACGAAGGAATCCATGCATTTTCCCCAAGTTACTAACATGTTTACACTAACCCCTAATGCCTGGATATTTATTGTATCAGGATCGGAAGCACAATTACAATACCTTTGAAAGTACACTAGCTACCAGCCACAATAAGTCACATCCCTCAGCGTTAATCCACCAGCGTGTTACAAAGGATGTAGGATTAAATTTTAGCACACACGATTCCACGTACAAGTCAACATTTCGCATGCTTAGAAAGCTGGGCTGTACTATATTCAGAGATGTTGAAAAGTCTTCCCAATATCGAGAGGCGTGTACCCAATTGCTGGGATTTATTAAAAGGCTCAAATTTTGTACAAAACCTGCTGTAAATTAAGACAAAGGTAGATTAAAACACTTCAGTTTCTTAAAAATAAAGTAATGCTTTCCATAAAAAGCAAAGATGGGCTTTTTGCCTTTACGCTGAACGGAGCTGGCTTGGAAATTTGTGCAAGGTGCACAAAAACATTCTCGGATAATTGGTTCCCCCTGTTGTGTACATCGATACAACCAAGTTCAAAGGCAAATCACAATAAAAACTGCCACTGTCTTAAGTTCTGCAGGCTAAGAGAGTTTCAGACAAGCTGCGGTGAAAAGCCACTGTTGAGAAACCCAGTGAAGCACAGGGACACAGCACGAACACTTTGGGTTTTGGAGTTCGAGAAAATTGGAGTAAAAAGCTGTTTTTTGTGCAATACTTTTAGATGCTCTAGGAAGACCCAAAATCATGATAGCCGTAGCAGTCTGTGAAAAAGTCACCTACAAAAGGGGGAGACAGAGCAGAGAAAAAAAATTAGAATTCTTTTGAAGATGGCAAAATGCGCCACATTTGAAAGTCATGTTTTAGATTTCTCTGCTCCTGTCACCCCCCAATGAAGGCTTCTTCTCAAGACCAATCGCTGTGTATTTTCGGGAAAATCACATTCAAAAGTGTGGCCGATAGCTTCACATGGCTTAAAGCAGAGAAATTTAAAATATTCACAGTTTTAGAGGAAACGTGAAGTCACCTGGGTTCGCGTTTTCACTTTTAAACGAGTACACGAGCCACCTTTCGTGACTTCTCATTCAAAAAAGAGAACCCCTTAAGAGGGCTTCAGCTTAAGCGCATCACCGCACGGTGCAGCCCAGTCCGAGTTTCGCACCCCCAGCAGATCGACGCGTTTCAAAATTTAAGGTGAAAAACACTTACTATAGCCTGCCGTCGCGGAATTTCCTCCATAACCATAGCTTCCGTACCCAGCACCTAGATCAGAAGAAAACGTTTAAATGAAAGGAGAAAGGCCTCGTATTTCCCGCCACGCGACAAAACGCTAGAGGGGATTAATTCGCCGGTCGGGGTTTGGGTAGTTTGCGGTACGTTTAAGCGTGGAAAGAGTCAGGACGAGGCGCAGGCAGCATCTCTCACCTGCGTTCATGTAGCCGCCGTGGTTGCCGCCGAATCCACCCCTGCCTCTCCCGCGGCCTCGGATGTTGCCGCCTCTTCCACGCCCGCGCATGTTGGGCGGAGGGGGCACTTCGTTGTGCATGGGGCCTCCCATTCCGAAACCCGGGTTGTGCTGCTGAGGGAAGAGAGATCTGTTATCCAGCTTCCGAACCGCATCGCCTTGCCTCCGAGGTGAAAACAAACCTTTCAAAGGGACGGCGGCAGCTCTAGAACACGTCAGGTACCCGTCTGCCTCGAAAGGAAGAGGGGTTACACCAAAAGCAGGGGGGGTGGGTGCCAAATAAGGGTCATCTCCAGAAAACAGAGGTTGTTTTCTGTAAAGCTTGATGGCATTTCTGCTTTCAAGGCCACTTGTTAGCAGATCCTAACACCTTAAATTATTTCCCCTCCCAAAAAGGGATTAACACCATAGAGCAGGAGACAAAGGTACCACAAAATGGTTAGCGACACCACAAAGTTGTCGAATTGTGAATTTACTTACTTTTACTGCAAACTTGGGTCCTCCCCTAGCCGGCACGGGGGCTCTCTTCTTCTTGTTTTGCTCAATGGCAACGGGAGCATCCGGAAACAACTTCTCTAGCGCGGCCAGAGCAGCGTAGGCTTTTGCCACCTTTTTATTCGAACCGGCTCCTTGGAATTTCTGCCCGTCAACCTCCACCTTTGAAAGGGATTAAATCATTGCACGTAAGCGGAAAGGGCAGGAACAGAAGCTGCCGCTTGGTAAAACTAATCTTTTTTTACGGTGCCCGCAGACAATTCCAGCAGTTGGAAGTGTTCAAGGTCATGTCGGACGGGCTTTGAGCAACCTGATCTAGTGGCAATGTCCCTGCCTATTAGATGATTTTTAACGGTCCCTTCCAACCCAAACCATTCTGCCATTTTACGATTTTAAATTCTTACTAAGGCTACGAAGTTACAGCTATCCGAGTTGGGATGAAGGCAACAGAAAGAGGACCAGAAGTCACCTCACCTCCATGACAAAGCGCTTGTCGTGGCTGCCACCCGTTTCTGAAATCAGTTCGTATTTCAGCCCGCGCCGTTTCTCGTTAAGCTCCATCACGGGATTCTTGCCGTGCTTCGTCAGAATTGGTCCCTGTTGTTTCACATTCTGGAAGTAGAGAAGTGGTGATGAAACTCTGAGAAAAACCCTAACGGACCTGAAGTTGCTTCCAAAACACGTACTTTGGAAAATAGCTTAAAAGAAGATAAGCTTGCCTGATGCTTTTACCTCTTAAATTGTATCGTCACAGTAACTGAACTGTACGGTACGCTGTTATAGCAACCTGTTGCTAAAAGGCGCTTCTGATGATGTTCCACCACATCGACCCAAAGAACCAGAGCGGCCTGTTTCCCCCTCTTCGACTGCGCTCACCTCTGGGGTTTGATCTGAAGGAGGAGAAGCAGCCGTGGGCGTCGAGACAGTTTCTACTACAGGCGGAGGAGCGACGACGACTGGTTTCTGTTCAGTTTCCTCTGCTGATTCGTCTCCTTTCCCAGATTCTTTGCCTTCCACCCCTGTGGGCAAACCCATATCTTGCAACACCTAGAGTAAGGAGAGTTGGAGAGGAGATTACTGAACAGCGCGTACCTCAAAGAACCCCTGGCTCTCGCGTGCCCTACCCATTTTGGGGTAAATACTTGAGAACGCTGCTCAAGACTCCGTTTATTAATTCTGTTCAAGTGCTAGGCATCCCACAAGGCACTTCAAGACCTAGGAGATACGAAGTCCTCTGCCCTGAGGCTTCATGCACAACAGACTACACTGTCCTGGTGTTTAACTTCTCCCCTCTCTGTCCTGAAGGGTTTATGACATTTTTTCACACACGGTTGTCGTCATGACTGTCATCACCAACACTCTGGTTGCCCTTTTGAACTTGGAGAGGTCAGCAATCAAACTGCCTCCTAACGAGAGCCCTCTGGCAGGAATTTGCGTACACAGCTCTTACCTTCACTGCCACGTGCAATTTGGCCGTCTTTTTGGAAGGTCCCGACGCCTCAAACGTGCTGCCATCGATTTCCACAGACATTGTAAAGATAGGAGCGTGAACAGGACCGGTCTGAGAGACGAGTTTGTACTGGAGCCCAGGTTTTAGCTGGTTTAGTTTCATCAGTGCATTCATGGCCTGGGGAGGTTCAAGTTTTTCCTCTGAACAGAGAAAAAAACCCAAAAGTTTGTCATCTCTTTCAAAGAAGCATAACTGATTTCAGACAAGTTCTGATCTGTATTTTCCTCCTCGCGAGAGTTTAAATTATACCAAGTAAAAATCTTACAGTGTTAAGCTTTTTTTTAAATTCACGTGCCCCCTAACTCCTATTTACAGCATCACCCAAGACCAAACACTCGCAAGAGTCCTTCCGCAACCTGCCCCCCGCCTCGGCCTGCGAACAGCTCTCGGGTAGCCATTTGTACCTACCTCTTGTTAACTCAATACCTTTTTTCTGAATCTTCTTTTTCTTTTTGCTGGGAGATTTCTCCTCTCCGTCCTCCTCCATCGGACGCTTCATTGGGGTGACAGCGTACGTTGTACTGGGAGGAATTTGAACTGTAACAGTCGTAACAAAAAACCCTAAGTATTCCAGTTTCCAGCAACAACAGCAGCAAAAAGCCTTGGAAATGTGGTTTGTGGGGTGTCCCCCCACCCCGCTCCCCAAATACCTACCAGTATAGTCAACAGGATTTTCATTCTTTGGTTTCTTGGGCATTTTGGAAGGTAGGGGATCCATCCCCAAGACTTTGTGAAGCTGGCCAAAAGCAGCAAGTCTCAGAGCATGCTAGAAAGATTAAACATGTGTTAGCGGGACGCGCAAGCGGCTACACCGATCTCTGTTCCCTGCACAGTTTCAGACAGGAACATTCTACCCACCCCTACACAGAAATCCTCATCAGTTTAAATAGGACTCTCTGAATTTTTGAAGTTCAACCCAAAATACGGGTCACGGTAGCAAGTCACTATTTAAAACCTGATACTTTGCTTCTGGTTGGCCAAGCTACAAATTCCTTATTGGTGTGGGACCCATTTGTATTTCTTTTACTTGACTAGATATTAAAAAAGTTAACACCGACCTCCGTGAGGTTACTAGACTACCATTAACCAATATGGAAGTTCAGAGTCAGTTGAACTGATTAAGTTTTCGTAACATCTGTAGTCAAAACTATACCTGAGCACTCTGTGTGATATCTTCCCTTTGTTGTCTGTCTAGATGCCCAATAGCATCAGTGGCTTCTTTTTCACAAGGATCATAAATACCAGAACCATCTGAAGGCAGGAAACAAGGAAGATATGCAGAGAATTATCCTGGTGTTTTCTAAAGAAACTAAACTAAGTATTCCCTTGGCATCAATCAACACTCATCTCTCGAAGAACACGGACTGACATGATCCATCCAATGTCCAACATTCTGAAACTCGTCTGGACTATTTTACACGTACAATTAGCAGTGAAGCTGGTCACGACCACTCAGGGAACCAATTTTACGCTTGTAGAAACTGGTACCTCTCTCTACAGGGGTTTAACGTCATGGGTCCGTAGCTTTGAACACACGTGCCCTAAGTAACGGCAAGGTACCGTAGTACCCGTGTACGCTGGGGGCTTTCTGAGCTCCGAATCTAGGCTGCCCGCACATATAACAAGGGAACGTAACCGCGCCTCGAAGCTTCAACCGCGTTTCATTTCGGCTTCGCTTTGAAATGTAAATGCAGAGAACCACCTAACCTGGCATAACGATTCCCGAGGCAAGGCATTCAAGAACTCTCCTCAGAGCCTCGCCAGCGCCCATGGGTCTGTTAGCGGTTCCGATAGATTTCTCACACAGCAGCTCTAGAGGCTGAAAGACAGTTTGGAAAAGTGAGAGGAGCAAAGGTAGGCGCTTGCGCTGCGCTTACGGCTAGAAGCTGCTTCGAATTCACAAACGATTGAAGGATTTACGCTGTAGAAATTGTTAATCGATAAAATGATTCACGCCGTAGCCATTTGATACGCGTCTTTTTAAGGGCAGAAACTTTGTCCGTGCTATATAAAACTCTCACTTATGAAATGGAACGTGTGCAGACTGAAGAGAGCTGAACACCGGCTTGGAGAAGTGGTACCAAAACCCCAAAAATGAAACAAAAGAGGAAAATTACCCATCCTCTCAGCGGTGCCCAAGTAGGAACCCGAGTACACAGATCTCGCAGCACTCGTATCACTATGACGCACGACTTCAGCCCGTTAGCCCTGGCCTAGAATAAGAATCAAAAGCGGACACACATTCAATAAAAACACCAGAACTGCTCATTTGCAGACATTCATTTTTGCGGTGCTACTTTGCCAAGGGTAAACAGTATTTCGCGTTACCATTTTATAACTTATAACAGTAACTGTAGTGTACAAAGGCAACATTACTCTTAACACAAAGCAGCAGCTATGCATCTACTCTTTAAAAAAGGTTCCTTCCGAACGTTTAATTCGCTTAAGTGCCTCTTTAGCAACTGTACCGTTGACAGACGCTAAGTTCAGCACGTCTAACTATCATCCGACGTTAAATATTTTAAATAAAAAAAAAAAAAATACAGTTAGCCCCTTAATAGTTTACAAATTTTCTACTTAAAGACAAATATAAGAACAAAATGCAAACCTGGAACCACTTGGCGTGTCGCAGTGACGCCAAGGCAGCAAGGCATTTCTGCCTGTCCAGAACGTCCGGGGAGTCGTTGACTGATAGCGTTTCTATTCGTGGATGGAATAAGAAGACAAGGCACAGTTTGACCAAGGGGGTTCTGTCAGGCGGAGAGGGGATGAGGCAGCTTCCTAACGGGCAGCTGAGGCTCCCAAAAGATCCTGATCTAGATCCTGTACCTGGAAGGATGATCTGCAGTGCGCTCGCCTAGCGGCCTTGCTTAGAAATTAAAACTGCAGAAAGGGGGGAAGTTCAATTAACAGGGACGGACTGAAATCTATTCTGCGAGGAGACGGGGCGTGAAACTCGATGGGAGAGGACAGAAATCCTTTACGACTCGAATGAAGTGGTAGCGTAGGAGGCCGGTGATAGGTAACGAAGGGAAATTTAAAATGAACCCCCACTCCGCGTTCAGAGCGCAGCTTTAGTGGAGGAGTGGGGGGGAAGAGCTTTGCGAGGATCAAGGGAACCCCCTCCGCCCATAAGGCTTGACTGCCCTGGCCCCAACCCGTGACAGAGAGCGTCCTGTTGGTCAAAGGTCCAGCGTCCCTAAAATTGACAAACTAGAAGGCTTGGTAGACGAGGTCAGATATCAAAACCATAGACAGTCAATAGAGCACAAAGATATTTTCCAGTCTGTGCTGCAGCAAAATTGAAGCTATGGTTTGAAAAAGCTCAAAGTTTCTGAAGACCAGGGTTTTAGATAAGGCTAGTGCACGGAGCGAGCGTTTGAAACCCGCCAATTCGACAGCGCGATGCCTACGATACAGAACCCGTCGTAATTCAAGCGCAAAACCACGCCTGTCAATTCTTATTCCAAAGGGAATTTGAGAGCGAATGGAGAAGCTAACTTTATCCAAAACTCTGCATCACTTTCCAGAATTCTGAACTTTAGCTGATGAAACAGCCAATCGAGGAGACCCAGAGCACCTATCATTCTTGCTGCAACACACACTGTGTGGAACATCCAATTTCATGTACATGCAAGTCATTTAACAAGAAGCCTTCGAGATTTTTTTTTTTTAAAAAACGTATCTGGTTTATATTTTTATGTCACTGTGCAGGCCACTTACATGGCTAGGTACAAAACAAGATTAATACAAGATGACGTATTAGTGAACTAAAGGCCCAAGTAAAAAAAAAAAAAAAAAAGGATAAAAAAAATAAAAGGAGCAAAATCCCATCTGAAAGGTGCTACTCAGTTTCGGAAGCTCAGTCCGAATAAACCGTAACCGTGATCTCATGAGGTTGGTGTTGTTCTTACAGAATTTTAAATTTGCACAAAAATAATTGTTGCTGCTTCGGCTGAAACTGAAGAGCACGCTTTAACAGTGAATTAGCAACGGAAATGTACGGGTTTCCAACCGACTGTCGGCTGTTTTCAGTCTTCCATACCTCCAGCTAACTGCTTTTCCATTTCTTCTCTGACTACAGGCGACGTCAAGTGGATGGTCAGTGTCAGCGGCGGCTCTTTTGTGTTCTTAATTACAATTGCAGCATCACCAACCGACTGGATTATTTCATATTTGTCTTCGGTAATAGCCTGCAATAGAATTTCACCGCTTAGCAATCGTCTAATTCATTTCTGAGTGATTTGCAACATCCTTTTCCAACAAAAACCAAGCTCTACAAACAAAACTTCAGCTAATAAAGAGACGTTCGTTTAACGAGGCAACTCCAGAATAAGGCTACACGCCTATGAAAATTACTTTTCCAAGACAGAAAAAGGGTATCAAAACCAAACGTCATCGGTGTCTTTTTAACCACGTAAAATCTATAACGCTCGTTCTGTAACAAGCGCAGACAAACACTGAAAGGTTTTACTCACAGCAAGCTGTACGCCAAGATTGTCAGCTACTTTCTCCAGGAGATCTGTGGTGGGTTTATCTTTGCACAAAAGAACTAGCTCAAGATCCAAGTCCCCCTTCAGTAACAGGCCTTTTGCTACAAGCCCGACACGCATCACTCCACGCAGGGTCCTAGTCAACTGCTCTGTGGCCTTCTGATCCCTGCAAATACACAGGGCACAATCACGACGGCTTCGAAACAAAAAGAATTAACCGCAGCCAGGGAAGCGCGAACGCTCAACCCAAGCTAAGGGATAGATCTGCGAAGATTAAACACGACACACGAGCCCCGCTGAAGGATTTACTACACCTGCACGGGAAAAGTCGCTTCAACCCCAGGTTAGTTAATTCCTCTCAGTTCCACAGCCAGGGAAAACAACTTTTCCAACTTCAGCGAGAGGATTTTTGCTAATCTAAGTAAGGTGGGGCTACTACCTCCGACAGCGCCCTTTACAGGCACGCGTTCGGTGAGGTTCCTTACCCTCCTTCCTTGTTTTCCTCTTCGGCTGCCGTCTCCATGGACTCTGTTTCTGGCTGCTCCCCACTGACTTTTTCTTGCTCGTCGATCCAGTCGGACACAGCTTTGAGCGCTCGCTCGGTGTGGGACACCATGTTCTGAACCGCCTCCAGCTCCTCCTGCGTAGGGTAAACGGCCGAATGTTTGGCCATCACATGGCGGTCGTCGTTCACAAAAATACGCATTGGTCGCTGAAAAGGGATTTTGAAACAATTTTAGCAAGAGCCGAAATACAGATATTCATCTTGCGAGTCCAAAACCTCCCGATCCTTACCATTTTTGCTTTTGAATGTCTGTCCAAGCGTTCAAAATGGGCTTAGATTCTTCCACCAAAAAGACTGTACCAGTACCACACCTTTCTGTAATCTGAAAGCAACAGAAGATCAGTTAGTAACGCTGGCAGGCTGGTCCGTCCCCGCAGCAGGAACAGAAATAACCGGCATCGATAATTGGAAGCAATACAGAAATTAGAAGCGAACTCATCAGTGAAAGCCCCGTTTTCTGCTCCTGATGACTTATATTAAGACCTGAATAGTGCCCACGATAACGATTACAGCCAGGTTTGTCCCACAGCCGTCACCCCAACTTGCACAGACCCCCCTCAAAGAAGGTTTGCATTAATTGCCCAGCGCTTTAACAAGCACCATACACTCATCTACCATCCGACAGCTCCGCCGTGGAGCGACGGCCGAGCACGTTGCGCAAGGCAAACGCTTTGAACCGATCCCTCGAACGATCTCCCCAAGAAGCAAAGACATCCCAGCAGCTGGAGCTGCACCCAACTGCTTGATTTTTCCCTCCGACTTCATTCGCGGCCATAAGTATATTATTTTGGCTCCTTATTCCCAAAAGGCTTTCCCATTAAAACTCGATTTTTCCAAAGCTCGTGCTCGTATTTCTAAAACGAAGTGTGCTGAAGGTAAAGCACTCCCCGCTACACGCCGGAGCAGCCTGCACTGGCAAAACTAAGAGTCTATAAGCTAACATAATTCCAAGAGGTAAAGAACCAGGTTGCCATCGCCTGGTTGCCAAGTGAGGAGATAGCTTAATCATTCGTGCTACTCAGAAGCAACAATTTGTAAAAATCTCTTTGCCATATACCGCTTTTTTACTCCAAATTCATTTTACAGTCTGCTTTACAAGCCTGCTTTTAATTAGGATCAATACGAGACAAGTTCAGCAGCTGCATCGAGTCTCTTCGGTTACTTTATCAGGAGGAAATAGTATAAACTTACGCCAGCAAAGCTGGTTTTGAAGCAAGGGCTCGCAACTTCTAAAATTCAACAGATTAAGCCAACATCACGACAGCTTGTTTCTGAAGAAGAAGCCATTTTCGAAGGGAACTAACCCACTCCAACAGCCCGAGCCCCAACCGGGGCAGTGAACTTCTTTTGTTAAAATTCAAGCACTTTGTTCCTCTATTTTAGCCAAGGGGCCTTCGAGCAGAGAAACATTTGTGTCCTGCAGGACTGACTGCCGCTCCGTGGGAGCTTCCCAAGATCGCCTTCAGTTCTTCTGGCAAGAACTTCAAAATGCCATTTCGCGCCCACTGGGATCGACTCTTCAGCATCAATGACATCGTTTCCCACGCGACTAGTGTAAGAATCAGCAGTTGCTCAACTCACGGTCGTTAGTTTGACCAAACACCTTTAATAAAACTCTTGATTTACCTCTAACTGAAACCGCACTGGCAATCCCAGTCCTGCAAGCACCTGATGTTTCGTGGTAACTCCAAGAATTGTTAAGTGCCACTTAAAAGCATTAGCACGAGCCAGGCAAAGGGAGAGCCTCAGCACCTGAAGACGATGGAGATGAAGGTCATCGGCATCTGCATCCCCCAGTTGTTTCACTTCATTTGACAATCAAGTACACACCAGAACCGCCTGGCAGCTAAAGCTTTCAAAAACACTGCTGGAGAAAGTCAATCATGCCTCAATTATTCCAGAGCTCACAACCAAATCCCGCTTCTCTGGAGTCCTTCCCTTCTGAGCGAGTCTCACTCGAAACGAAATCGGGCTGAAGCTCGCTTTTGCTTTTTTCCACTGGAACCTACCCTGAGTCGGCCCGTTCCCAGCCTTGCTGGTAATCGCTACGTACAGCTCGCAAACCCAACGTTTTACTTTTTACACTTTACAGATGACACAACCTGCAAGTAAGCCCGACCGATCTTAAGTATAACTTGTCCAAGATACTGGAATAATAATAAAAAAGAACAAGTAATTAACCGCCCAAATACTCAGGGCTTTACTAGAGCGATGCCATTATAACTCTATAAAACACCACGAACGGCCTGGGCAGAAATCAGGACCCCGCTGCGCTACTTGTTTTACAAACAGAGCTGAGGCTCACGACTTGGAGAATTTTCTAGGATAAAAATTGGGAAAACTCGTTTCCTCAAGCCACCGGCGCTGTACGGAGTCAGTATTCTACACCACAGAAATACCTCCGATTCCAATCCTGCAAATATTTACGCACAGGATGACTTTGGTATTGTTACAAACCTGGATCTAATTGTAATTAAACCCAGATATTAGTGCCCACTGACCAGGGAGAATTATTCCCAAGCTATCTGCAAGAACCCACGAGGCATCTTCTCATGTTTGCGGGTGCCAGCCTCCCAAAACACTCCTCCTTTGGACTGGACCCCAAAGAACTCGTACACTCTGTATACGGTTATTTTTCTTAAAGCTCCCTTAATTTCCTCCAAGCAAGGTAAGAAATTAGTTGAAATCCAGCCTAGTGAAGCGTGTTTCTATAGTCAGAAAATACTACAACAGCCCGAGAAACGAGAGTCCCGTTTCCTGTGATTTCTAAAGACGGATGTTATCGCTCTTCTTGAAATCACTGAAGCTCATTTCTAGTGAGAACCCAGGAGCTGATGCTGCAGCATCACAGGATTCACGCCTCTTGGGGAAAAGAACCACAGAACAAGTTAAAAACACGAACGTGCTCAATAACGCACAATTCCTGACATTGCTCTTCATGCTGGTCGTCATTAAAATTGGAGAAAAAAAAGAGAAAACTTTGAAATTCCACCCTCGTTTGAAGCCTCGCCTGCTCTGCTCTCTCCCTCCTACGATCTCCACTACCAGCTTGATTTCACCAACAAACTTTCCACTCGATTCGAGTCTTCCGAGGGAAGGAGCGGACTCTCCGAAACATTTGTTGGGCGGATGGATGAGGAAAATGATAAACAATGCAAAAGGTCGAAACTTCTCCTCTAGGTAAGGGGAAAGTTTCACACATGTGAAGAAGCCCATCTCATTTTAGAAAGCTTCTACGCTTTAAGTAAGAATTTGTCATTTTTAATCTATGCTTTTAGCCTATCGTACCTGAAGAGGAGGAGTGCAAAGCCTTAATGCCTTGCTTTTGTTTGCCAAAGCTCTTCAAGGTCTAAGGACACCGACAGCGTCTATCCCCCATCGCAAGGCTACCTGGCTGACCGAGGTGAGGGCAAACAAAAGCTGTTGCCTCTTGCAAAGCGGCAGCGACACGTAGGGAGGGTTTTTTTCGGTTTTTTTTCTGAACCATCCAGAAACCGAGCAGCTACAAATAACGGGACGGATGAGAAGTGATGGGAGAGTCCGGATAAACCCCTGGAAAGTGAAGTTTAGGACAGGAGAGCGCGGTCCTGTCCCTAAGGGGAGGAGATGGGCATTTAAATCACGCCAAAGGGGATGTTTCCACCTCACCCGTGTCCCCCACCTACCCACGCACACCCACCTCCCAGCACCGTGAGAAGCCTGCGGGCCCCGGGGAGCTGCTGCCGGGGCGGGGGGTTCGGGAAAGGGCCCCCCAGGACCGACCTTTCCCTCCTCCCCACTCCC